TCCCATTCTCCATAAAATTCTTCCTAATCGCCATCACCTTTTTACTGTTTGACCTAGGAAATGCTCTTCTACTTCCTCTCCCATGAGCCCTTCAAACTCTAACCCTTAACTTAACAACATGACCCGCTATTTGCTTAATTTTAATCCTATCCCTAGGCCTCACTTACGAATGGTTACAAAAAGGGTTAAAGTGAGCTGAATATGGTAATTAGTTTAACAAAAACAAATGATTTCGACTCATTAGATTATGCCAACTACATAATTACCAAAATGACTTCAATCTTATTTAACATTATTACAGCCTTTATCATTTCTTTTATGGGCATTATAATCTATCGATCCCATATAATGTCCTCCTTACTATGCCTAGAAGGGATAATGTTATCCATATTCATTTTAGGCGTAACTATCATACTAAACTCCCATTATATTTTAGCTTTCTCCACACCCATCATCCTCTTAGTATTCGCCGCCTGCGAAGCAGCTGTGGGTCTCGCACTATTAGTAATAATCTCAAATACATATGGTATTGACTACGTACAAAACTTAAATCTACTACAATGCTAAAAATCATCATACCAACAATCATACTCATCCCAACCGTCTGATTATCTAATACCTCCTCAATATGAATTAACACAACATCATACAGCATACTAATTGCACTGATCAGTCTAAGCTACCTCAACAATATAGATACAACCAACATAAACCACTCACTGACATTATCATCTGACCCCTTATCAACCCCTTTATTAATCTTAACAACATGACTTCTACCCTTAATAATCATTGCTAGCCAACACCACCTAAAAAATGAAACAGAAACACGAAAAAAAACTTACATCTCCTTACTAATCTCCTTACAAACATTCCTTATCCTAACATTCTCAGCAACAGAAATAATTATATTTTACATTTTATTCGAAACAACCCTAATCCCTACATTAATTATCATTACACGCTGAGGGAATCAAACAGAACGAATAAACGCTGGCCTATACTTCCTATTTTACACCTTAATTGGATCCCTCCCCTTACTAATCACATTAATCTACATTCAAAACCAAATAGGAACCTTAAACTTCCTATTATTTAATTATTATAAACCAATGCTTGACTCCACTTGATCCAACAACCTCATATGACTAGCATGCACTATAGCATTTATAATTAAACTACCCTTATACGGCCTCCACTTGTGATTACCAAAAGCACACGTCGAAGCTCCAATTGCAGGCTCCATGGTACTTGCAGCCATCTTACTTAAATTAGGGGGGTACGGTCTAATACGAATTCTACAACTCCTAGAACCCTTAACAAATAATATAGCATACCCATTCCTTCTACTGTCGTTATGAGGAATAATTATAACTAGCTCAATCTGCTTACGCCAAACAGACTTAAAATCCCTCATCGCATACTCCTCTGTTAGTCACATAGCACTTGTAATCGTTGCTATTTGAATTCAACCCCCTTGAAGCTTAATGGGAGCTACTTCTTTAATAATTGCCCACGGTCTTACATCCTCCCTATTATTCTGTGTAGCTAATTCTAATTATGAACGAGTACACAGCCGAACTTTACTTCTAACACGAGGCCTACAAATACTATTTCCACTTATAGGGATATGATGGATTATTGCAAGCCTGACAAACCTTGCTTTACCCCCTTCAATTAACCTATTCGGAGAACTATTAATCGTAATATCAACTTTCTCGTGATGTAATCTCACAATCATTCTTACCGGATTAAACATCCTTATCACAGCTTTATACTCACTTTATATACTAATCTCAACACAACGAGGGAAACTACCCTACCACATTCACAACATACCCCCAACATTTACACGAGAAAATATTCTAATAAGCCTACACATTATCCCTCTACTGCTCCTAACCCTTAACCCTAAAATCGTCCTAGGAAACCTATATTGTAATTATAGTTTAACCAAAACATTAGATTGTGAATCTAATAATAGAAGTATTAAAACCTTCTTATTTACCCCTATTCGGAGAAAGACCGCTGGAACTGCTAACTCCACACCCCATAATTAACATTTATGGCTTTCTTGACTTTTATAGGATAGAAGTATTCCATTGGTCTTAGGAACCAAAAAATTGGTGCAACTCCAAATAAAAGTAATAAACCTATTCAACTCTTCATTTATCATAACCTTAACAATCTTAACATTCCCTATCATCACACCTTTGACCAACCTATACAAAAAATCACACTACCCCGGCTATATTAAAACAATTATCTCCATCTCCTTTTTCCTCAGCCTAATCCCAACCCTCACTATGTTTTACTCTGGTCAAGAGGCCACAATATATAATTGGAGCTGACTAAATATTCAAACCTTTCACCTAAATATTAATATTAAATTAGACTATTTTTCTATCCTATTTATATCAGTAGCCTTATTTGTCACATGATCCATTATAGAGTTCTCACTCTGATACATACACTCTGACCCTAATATAGACAAATTCTTCAAATATCTACTACTATTTCTAATTACTATAATAATCCTAGTTACAGCTAACAACCTATTCCAACTTTTCATCGGCTGAGAAAGCGTAGGAATCATATCTTTCCTACTAATTGGATGGTGACATGGACGATCAGACGCCAACACAGCAGCAATGCAAGCAGTATTATACAACCGTATTGGCGACATCGGCTTCATTCTTTCCATAACATGATTTCTACTCTACTCCAACTCATGAGACCTACAACAAATCTTTATTACCCAAGAAGGTACTGATATTATCCCTATGCTCGGCCTACTGCTAGCAGCAACTGGAAAATCAGCCCAATTCGGACTACACCCTTGACTCCCCTCAGCTATAGAAGGCCCTACACCGGTATCTGCCTTACTTCACTCAAGCACTATAGTTGTCGCAGGAATTTTCCTATTAATCCGCTTCTATCCCCTCATACAAAATAATCAATCACTCCAAACACTATGCCTCTGCCTCGGAGCATTAACCACTTTGTTTACGGCCATTTGTGCACTGACACAAAATGACATCAAAAAAATCGTAGCATTTTCCACTTCCAGCCAACTAGGCCTAATAATAGTAACCATCGGAATTAACCAACCCCATCTAGCATTTCTTCACATCTGCACCCACGCTTTCTTCAAAGCAATACTTTTTCTATGCTCCGGTTCAATCATCCATAATTTAAACGACGAACAAGATATTCGAAAAATAGGCGGCCTACACAAAACCCTACCAATTACATCTTCCTCTTTAATAATTGGCAGTATAGCTTTAACAGGGATCCCTTTCCTTACAGGATTTTACTCCAAAGACCTAATCATTGAATCTGCAACAACGTCGTATACAAACGCCTGAGCCCTAGTTATTACCCTAATTGCTACATCCCTAACTGCTGTCTATAGCACACGAATCATCTTCTTCGCATTACTCAATAACCCTCGATTTAATTTCTCTCCAAGCATAAATGAAAATGACCCCACAATAATTAACCCTATCAAACGACTAGCCATCAGCAGCATCTTAGCCGGCTTCTTCATCTCCTACAATATTCCCATCACAAACATCCCTCAAATAACTATACCCCCCTACATGAAATTTGCAGCAATCTTATCAACAGTCCTAGGCTTCATAATCGCCCTCGAACTAAACGTAATAACCAAAAACCTTAAATCTAATTACTCCACTAAATTAACTAACTTCTCAAACATGCTAGGCTACTTCCCACCCCTAATCCACCGAACATCCCCATTCATTAACCTCTCAACAGGCCAAAACCTAGCCTCCCTAATAATTGATTTAATTTGACTTGAAAAATCTCTACCAAAGACTATCTCTCAAACACAAGCAATAGCATCCATATATACTTCTACCCAAACCGGCCTACTAAAACTCTACTTCCTCTCCTTCCTGATCTCTATAACTCTAGCACTCACCCTACTATTTTAATTACCGCGAGTGATCTCCAGAACAATAAAAATCCCTGCAAACAAAGATCAACCAGCTACAAATATCAATCAACAATTATAACTATAAATCGCAGCAACACCAGCAGAATCTTCATTTAAAAATCCTACGCTTCCCCCCTCAGCATCATAAATAATCCACTCACCTATGCCATAACAATTAGCCAATACCTCAACATGCTCATAATCAACTCATCAACGTAAACCCACAAGCTCAAACAAGAAACCTAAAAACAATGTCCCTCAAATAATAACACTTGACCCTCATGTCTCAGGATATTGCTCCATAGCTATCGCAGTTGTATAAGCAAACACCACCATTATACCCCCTAAATATACTAAAAACACAACCAACCCTAGAAATGACCCACCATAACTCAAAATAATAGCACACCCAATTCCACCACTAACAACCAATGCTAACCCCCCATAAATAGGCGAAGGTTTAACAGAAAAACTAATAAAACCAATAACAAACATAATACTAAGAATATAAACAATATTTAAAATCATTATCCTCACATGGAATTTAACCATGACCAATGATATGAAAAACCACCGTTGTAATTCAACTATAAGAATATACTAATGACCAATATCCGAAAATCACACCCCTTAATCAAAATTATCAACCACTCATTCATCGACTTACCAGCTCCCTCGAATATCTCAGCATGATGAAATTTCGGTTCCTTATTAGGTGTATGTTTAATATTACAAATTATTACAGGTCTATTCTTAGCAATACACTACACAGCCGATACAACCACAGCATTCTCATCAGTCACTCACATTTGCCGAGACGTAAATTACGGATGATTAATCCGATATCTTCACGCTAACGGAGCGTCCATATTCTTCATCCTACTTTACCTACACATCGGACGAGGTATCTACTACGGGTCATTTACTTTCATAGAAACCTGAAACATCGGAGTTCTACTTTTATTCGCAGTCATAGCTACAGCTTTCATAGGCTACGTTCTACCATGAGGACAAATATCTTTCTGGGGGGCAACAGTCATCACAAACCTTCTATCAGCAATCCCTTATATCGGACCTAATCTAGTAGAATGAATCTGAGGTGGATTTTCAGTCGACAAAGCTACACTAACCCGATTTTTTGCTTTCCACTTCATCCTGCCTTTTATCATCACAGCAATAGTAATAATCCACTTATTATTCCTTCACGAAACAGGATCCAACAACCCATCAGGGCTAAACTCAGACTCAGATAAAATCCCATTCCATCCTTATTATACAATCAAAGACATCCTAGGATTCTTATTCATACTACTCACACTAATAACCCTTGTTTTATTTACACCAGACCTTCTAGGAGATCCAGACAACTATACCCCTGCCAACCCCTTAAACACCCCTCCCCACATCAAACCAGAATGATACTTCCTATTCGCATATGCCATCCTACGTTCAATCCCTAACAAACTAGGAGGAGTATTAGCCCTAGTATTATCCATCCTAATCCTAATGCTATTCCCCATACTTCATCTATCCAAACAACGCAGCATATCATTTCGCCCCTTAAGCCAATGCCTTTTATGAGCCCTAGTAGGAAATCTAATTATTCTCACATGAATTGGGGGTCAACCAGTAGAACACCCATTCATTACAATCGGACAACTAGCCTCAGCAATCTACTTTTTCATCATCCTAATCCTCATACCAACCACAAGTCTCATAGAAAACAAACTCCTTAAATGAAGAGCCTTAGTAGTATAAAAATTACATTGGTCTTGTAAACCAAAAATGAGAAACTAATTCTCCTAAGACACCCAATTCAAGAAAGAGACATAGGCCCCGCTATCAGTACCCAAAACTGAAGTTCTAATTAAACTATTTCTTGAAAACACCCCTCATATAATAACAACTATGTACTTCGTGCATTAATGCATGTCCCCATTAATATAATGCTCTAGTACATATAATGTATTAAAGTACATAGACCATGTTATGTTTAATCAACATATAAACCTTAGCCCCATGCATATAAGCCAGTACTAATTAACTAAGACGTACATAAGACATATATCCAAGATCCAAAGGCAAACCTAGACAACATGAGTATTGTCCTCCTAATTAATCTAATAATCTTACATAAGACATACATCTCCGTGATCAGACATTGGTACATCAAATTAAATAATCCTTGACAATACGTCTATCACTTTCCATTAGGGGTATCTTAATAACCATCCTCCGAGAAACCATCAACCCGCCAGGCAGGTGTCACCCTCCTCGCTCCGGGCCCATAAATCGTGGGGGTAGCTATACTGAAACTTTAACAGACATCTGGTTCTTTCTTCAGGGCCATAGAATTAAGCTGGCTCATTCGTTCCTCTTAAATAAGACATCTCGATGCTAGGAGGTCTACTGGCGAGAAACCAACAACACTATAATACAAGACATTTGGTAACGATTTAATTTTAGGGATGCTGTGACTCAGCATAGCCGTCAAGGCATGGTCTCAATCAAATCAATTGTAGCTGGACTTACAAATCAGTTCCCTTAGCCCGCATAATAAAAATCAAGAGGTGCATACTTTTAATGCTAGAAGGACATAGAATAAATTTACACATACACACGTATACACACGTATACACACACGTATACACACGTATACACACACGTATACACACGTATACACACACGTATACACACGTATACACACGTATACACACACGTATACGCACACGTATACACACACGTATACACACACGTATACGCACACGTATACGCACACGTATACACACACGTATACACACACGTATACGCACACGTATACACACACGTATACACACACGTATACGCACACGTATACACACACGTATACACACACGTATACGCACACGTATACACACACGTACGTACACACGCACGCATTGTTTTACCAAAAGTATCTTTTAACAAACCCCCCTTACCCCCCGTAAAATTATATATATATTGCATGGGTAAATTACCCATGCACCGTATTTATTAGCCCTGCCAAACCCCAAAAACAGGAAAATAAATACAAAATAACTACAATTTTACGCCTACCCTACCCATATTCATAGGGTGTAATTATAATATTTATACCCTCATGTCAGTACAACATTACATTATTTTCCCACCACCCTCATTCATAGAATGACCACACCTTAAACAAACCCGCCTTGCAAACCCTAAGCCTAAG